GCAACCCCGAAGGGGTTGGGACTAAATGTTGAGGACGGCTGTTATACAGTGTTCACATTCTACATCTGTCTGTTTCTTCTGTCTTCCTCTCACCCCTCACAATACTATGATGTAACTTTAATTTTTTTCAAAACCTATCTTTAATGATGGCTCTTAAACACTTTAAACTCCCTTTTAGCCCAACACCCACCAGAGGTAGTGGGAAAGAAAGAATGTGAGGAGGTGAACCTGTTTCGAAAGGTTCTTTGGAACAACTCTCATCTGTGTTGTCTGGAAATTGACAGTTCAGTTCACAGGTCAGCAAGCGGCAGCTTGATCCATTTGTAAACACTTCATGGATACATCAGCAGTCCAGTTCCGTAGAGTCTGGATAGCAAACAGGAATCAGCAGCGGTGGCACTACCTAGCAGAGACAGCCAGGCCTCAGCCCCTGCTCCAGTCAGCGGAAGGGACCTAGAGGGACACCAGGAGAAGTTCTCCACTGCGCCTCTCTCAGGGACACCAACATCAGGAAAGATGTAGGACCTACAAGCATTGCACAGCTAGCTCTATAAGCAAGCCTAGCTCCCCCTCCATCACTGTCCATCCAGTCCTATTTATACGCTCCAAATATCACATGTCCTCCATGGGTCTTGCTTCAGCATGAGCACCTGTCTCAGCTGACATCACTCTGCCAATCAGACTGAGTCTTCTGAAGCCACAAGAAACTGCAGCACACCACCAGAAATGTTTTGGTGTGTTTATTTCTGTGGAGTTCCGACAAACGCAACTCAACTATGCAATGTAAGGCAGACCAATACATGCGTGTCATTAACAAAGAATACTTCATCACATGTCCTTTCATGTGCTTGCTTGAACAGAACATCCTTTCTCCTGTGTCTGCTTCAGCTAAACAGTCCTTCTTAGTCTGCCTTAGTCTTTCACCTGTGCCCACTTCAGGAAAACACTCCCTCACGTGTTTGTCCCAGCAAAACACCATCCAACCGACTTTCCAAAGAACCTTTAAAGTTTCTACTTCACTACAGAGCTGACAATGCGTATTTTAATGCCAGTCTGTTCCATGGTGGGCGATGTGGTCCATGGCCCTGAGATGGTGGAATTTACACCTTCTGTGTCCTTCCTTGAATGTGAGTTGGACTTGTTCTAGAGAGTAGATTAACTCGTATATGGAACAGTGTGCATCAGTGTCTACTGACAATAACTAGGAACAGATATCCAGCTAAATGTCCATCCGCTAATTAGTGGATAACAAAGACGTGGTACACATAAACAAAAGTTTTATTTGGTTGTAAATAAAAATGAAATCTGCAAGAAAATGGGTGGAACTTGGACATTTTATACCAAGTAAGGTATAAAAATTAAGATAAAGATAAACATCATATATTCTCTCTTCTTTGAAGATCCTTGCCTCAGAATTTTAAATCTGTGTGTTTGACTGGAGTGCCTGTAGAATCCAGGAAGCTAGAAAGGGACCCATGGGATAGGAGAAGGAGGCCTTAAGGGAAAATGGATAATCTAATACATGCCCTATGAAACTAGAGGGAGAAACACTGAAATAAAGGATGAATGAGAAAAAGCCATTTGGAGACCTACTATTTTGAAGATAATTTAGAATGTACAAATAAATTAAAACCACAGAAGAAGAAAAGGAGGAGGAGGAGGAGAAGAGGAAGAGGAGGAAGAAGAAGAAGAAGAAGAAGAAGAAGAAGAAGAAGAAGAAGAAGAAGAAGACTTTGAAGAGAGGGATTCTACATGGGTATAGGATGCTGCTCCCAGAAGCTATTGGTAACTAAATGAAAATCCCAGTGTTAGCTGTGGATTTCTCCTTATCCATTGAGAGGCTTCAGAGACCCCGTGAACAGCACAAGCACAGGCCATTACCACTATTTTGGCTTGCCCACCATGATTAGATGATAAGAACCTATTGCAAGACAACCATGGTTGCAAGGCATAAAAGAAATTAAACTGGAACTGGAAGGCTCCTCATGGCCGACTAAGCAGGATAACCCACGCCGCTGGTGCAGTGGGCATACCCTAGCTGGCAGGGTCATGTTGCAGTCCTCTGGGGTCACACTGCATAAGACTATTGGTGACTTTCTCCCCCCAGCAGGCTGCATGCACTTCCGGCTATGCTGGCCAGCCGAGGGGAGCTTCCAGCTCAGTTCCAGCATGACTGCTTTCCTGTTCTTTATTATTATCGTCGGTGTTATCGTGGTGCTGGGGATAGAACCTGGATCTACTGTCCTCGAGGCGAGTATTCTATAGCTAAGCAGCCCCTCCATGCCAACACCACTTTAGTGTTTGATATCCCGATTGCCCCGTGGCTGGTGAGTGAAGGCTCCTTCAGCCTGATATCTATAGGTGTCCTTACTTTTCCTAAGCCATTTCTCTAAGGCTTATTTTAGTAGGAGACTCTTAGAGGTTTGCTCATTGCCACTTGGATGTCATAGCTTACAGACCTTGTTTGTGTATAGAGGAGGTGCATTTTGTAAAACAAAATAAAAATAAATAAGTAAAAGTAAAATAAGTAAATAGGTATATAAGAAAGTGCTTTTGTGTAAAGAGACTTCCTCCAGTTCAAATCCCGTTTATGGTCTCCTCCCTCGCCTTCCCATTCTGTATTTGACATCTTCCCTCCACAGTGACAACTTTGCTTCCTAAACATAGCTAATCTTTCACTCTAGCCTGTAATTGCCTTAAACATTTTCAGAATTATGACTCTAATATCATTCCCCAATCAACACCTTTTAAGAACATTCAAGCTGGGCATGGTGGTGCAGGCCTTTAATCCCTGACGCTGAGAGGCAGAGACAGGTAAATCTCTGGGTTCCAAGCCAGCCTAGTCTACAGAGCGAGTTCCAGGTCAGCCAGGGCCACATAGAGAAACGCTGTCTTCAAAACAAAACACCCAAACCCCCCAAACATTCAGACTGCTGTATTTCTATTCATTCTGAGCACATATCTCACAAAGGGCATGATGTCCGGACACTGTGTTCTCGAGTTGCAAGGTTCTGCTTTTCTCCTATATGGTTTCAGGATCCATTTCATATACACTCCTATTACTTCATTTTTGTTTTCACGTAGTTTTATGGTTTGATTTTTTTCTTTTACATCTTTTACATTTTAAATAACCTAGAATATGGGCATGAAGATGACTCAGAAGTTAATAGCTCTTGTTGATGCAAGTTCAATTCCCAGCATGCTTGTTGAGTGCCTCACAACTGCCTGAACTGCGGATCCCGGGGTTGGGGAATCCTGTGCATCTGGCCTCCATGGGCATGGGCCATCACATGCTAATATCTGCAAACAGACTTAGGCGTGTATACTAAATTTTTAAAAAATAATAAAATGAATCTTTTTGCTAAGTCTACAAGAGAATAATTTCAAATATGGAAAACTTTTATATTTTATGTAAATTTAAAGTTATCCTCTCTAGCCTTCCTTACAGTCTCAGTCCTTCCTCCCAACTGGGTCCCTATCAATCCCTACATGCAACCAACTTCATTAGATTTTTGTTTATTCCTTTAAGTTTTTTTTTTTTTTACTAGCTTATAATTATTGTATAAAGAGGTAGGTCTTATAGTGACATTTGGAGTTTTAGTTTATTCTTCCTGTATATCTTTTATTTATATGAAATTATTGTGCTACATTTGCTCTTTGTTAACTGGGGTTTCCCTCCACTTGCTGTACCTTACAAGTACTGTATCCTCCGCCCCTTGCAGCTGTGGGGCTCGTCACTACGGAAACCTGTCGTCATTTACTTCAATTAGACGAAGCATCTAGGTTGCTTGCAACATTTTGTTGTGACAAATGGCGACCTTGAAGGTCTCTTCTTGCTTTGTGAACGCACACTTGCAGGGTAAGTTCCTTGAGTTAGGATTGCTGGGTTCAAAGGTAAACACATAGTGGTTTCACTAAATATTTCTCTTTCTCTACAGTGCTCATTGTCAAACTTCTGACGGGTGGTCGAGTTGATAGACTAGTGTGGTTCTTACAGGCCTTACAGCAGAGTAAGAAGCTGACACACTTCCATATGTTCGAGGTCTACTTTGCAGCACTTCTTATGTGCATGTAAACTGTCTATGGCTTGTACCTGATTTTCCATCAAGTTGTGACATTTTTCTTCAGTATTTAAATGTTTCTCATACGCCTAATATCACAGATAAACCCTGTGCCCAGCATACATTTTATAAGCATTTTCTCACAGCCTTCTAATTTCTTTTAATTATTTCTGAATCAGAAATCAGTTTGTTGAATTTATTAATATTTTTCTTTTACTGTGTTTCAATGTTTTATTTCTCATGTGAAAACATTTATTTGAGTGTTAGGCTGGGCTTTGACTGGATTTCCTTATGTTACTTAATCGTCTTCCCTTAACCCTCTCTATTTGTGTTGCCAGGATGTTTTAAGACTCTGGGGTCCAAGCCATCCCCCTGCCTCAGTCTCCAGAGGGGACTGAGGTGTGTATCACCACAGCCAATGAACGGTCTCCCTTTGTGAGGCACAACAGTAAGGCATATTTTTTTAACCTTCTGCCAAAGAGGTGATGTGTGGATCGGGCCCAACTGGCATACTTGGTTTTCATCTCATTTCCTTTTCAGAGGAAGTAAGCCTAGATTGGGTAGCTTATCGCTCATTAGGGAGGATGTGCCCTATGTCACTCCTGTAATCTGGGCCGACAGGTGTCCAAAATGCCCCTGATTCACACACAGGCTTTGAGTCATGAACTTCCCCCACACCCAGGATATAAATAAATCCACCCAAGTGTCCCCTAACATTTGTATGGTTTCATGTTTCACATCAGGACTCCTGGTTCATTTGGAGTTTATCCTGGTGAAGAACGAGACCTATGGGCCCAGTTTTCTAGGCAAGGTGACCCCATGGAACTGTGGGGGGAAATGAGTGTCAATCCTTCCGGTGCAGGCCACTAGGTGGCGGTCCTTCCGGTTCATTTCTGCTGAAGTTTGGCAAGAAACCTAAGTCTTCAAAAGATAAAGGAAGTGACCCTAGGAGTAACAGTCAGAGAGCACAACTTTCTGGAACGTTCCCCTCATCTTCACAACTTTAGATTCTGGAGGCAAGCTCCGTGTTCCTCCCCCAAATTGAAAAGTATTTCCCCCCGACGACACCTTCGTTCCCACCGGAGGTCCACAAGGGCCACAGTGTGTGCGGAGACCGCTCTGCAGGGATGTCACCAGGCCCACAGGTAAATATGGGATAGAGAAGATAAAAAGGAATAACGATGCTGACCGTCCTCACCTGAACTTCTGGGGAGCCCGGAGCTGGGAATGACAAGATGTAGGCTTCCATTCCTGGGTAGCTGCCGGCCCAGTTACTGCAGGCACCTGCTTGGCCACCTGCCCTTTAATTTCCCCATATATAAAACGGGGCAAGGTCTGCCCTGCCTGAGTGCAAAGCATGTCGAAGGGATAAGCTGATCCGTGTGTTGCAATGTAAGAGGCACTGTACAAACGTGTTTTCTCATGATTATGTTTTATGTTTTGTCCTGTATAGGCGTGTCTCTTAAATATGGAAATATATATAATAAACTGCTGGCTAGAGGCTGATTCCTGTTTATAAGGCGGATTTTGCACCTCTATCCTGTTGTGGAAAACAAACACAACCATTGGAGAAAACAGGCTAACTCAAAAGAGCTGCTGAAGGGCCCTAGGAGAGAGTCCTTGCTGAACTTTGCTCACCTCACCAGCCCTCCCTTAGCTGTATATGGAATACTATTGCTGAACTTTGCTCACCTCACCAGACCTCCCTTAGCTGTATATGGAATACTATCTGTGCGATTTTCATGTGGCAGATCGCTGAAGCTGTTCGTGGGTCAAAGCGGGTAAGAACCATAACCCTGAACAAAAGGATCCTGCTGGTCCCAGAGCCTCTCCTCGTTCTGTTTCTACAGACTAGTCATGATACTACTTCCTTCTCAAACCCTAGGTGGGTTTATGCCACTTCTGGTTGAAGTTGGTCTGAAGAGAAAGAGAAAGGAGATGTGGTCAGGACCCAGGGTATCTAGAAACCAAAGACAAAGTTCCAAAGTCCGAGGGCTCCAGGGGCAGCCTGGCAGACAGTCAGAATGCCACCTAGACAGACAAACCTCTTGGCAGTGCCACAGCGGTCCTCCTTCTGCTCCTGAAGTGTGCCAAGATCTTTCCTACCTCAGAGCCATTTGCTGACGCTCTCTTATTTAACTAGAATATTTGGTCAGGATCTTCTTTGATTGGCACCTTCTCTTCATTGAGGTCTCAGGTGGAATTGATTACCTTAGAAACATCCTTCCTGGTCACAGATTACCACAGCCCTCGTCATTTTCCAAGAGTGGTTATCAGTATGGGAAAATTAACTTTTTGAATACTATCTAACTTGGTTTTTGCCTACACAGCCTGGGCCCCTCCCATCTGAATGGAAACAACCTTTGAACCATGAGGGTAGTTTCAGAGTCCACAGCAAGATCTCATGCAAAGTAAGAGCCCATCTCATATGTAGGAAAGGCTGCACATAGTGTGGATGAATCTACATGTTCTGGTTAGAAATGCCACACCAGGATCTCTCCTCTCTCCCCTAGTGCAACATTTTCAAATGTGTTCTACTAAAAATTTTCTCCTATCTGACCCTCTGTCTGTTCCCCATCGTCTTGGGGCTGCCACTTGAATATCATGCTAGTAACAGTACAACACTTTGTTCCCTGCAGCCAGACCTTCCTAACACAAGATTACCTTGCTCCAGCCTGCAACCAGCCTCACTCGTGTTCACTGCCCTTTCCTGGGACAGCTGAGTCCCTCTTGTGTCTTCTCCTGCTGTTCTTGGAATTAACACCTTTCTCAGAGTCACCAGAGACTGGACTTTCCTAATTATCGGACAATCCTCATCTCTGTATCAGACTCAAGTATAGAGATGTGGAAAGCTCCTTAGAAATCCAGAGACCTGAGCTCTCCCCTGAAGCTGATGAACTTTTGAAGGAAACAGCAATACTGGTGTGAGGAGGAAGGAAGCAAAGGCTAGAGAGAGCTTTCTAAAAATGGCTCCAGAGCAGGTCACACACAGCCTCCCACAGAACAGACCTGGGACTCTAGCTGGTCTTAAGGAGCCTTGGGCAAAACAAAGTATGACTGTCCCAACCACAATAAGCTAAGTCCTTGGAAGAGTTGAAATGATGCTATTTGAAGGTGAGATGGTAGCCTTGTACCTTCTAAAGCAGCCGTGTGTTTGATAATTGCCCAAGCTTTATCTGAGGGACTGTGATGTAACTTCATGGGAAGAAAGCAAACCCAAGTAAGGCGAAGATCTTGACTTTGGCAAAAGAGAAAGTACTGCCAACAGTTGATAGTGTGACTTTTCTTTTCCATCAAAATGGCTGGGCGGGGGTCCACAGGAACACGTTCATACCTCAGAAGATCTGTCTCAGCTGTTCGGGCGGCTTTATAGGTGCTCTTAGCAAAGACACACTGGGGACATTATATGTCACTATCATTAATGTTTTTAAAAATATTTAAATTTGGGTTTAGAGAGATGGCTCAGGGATTAAGAACACTCACTGCTCTTCCAGAAGACCAGGGTTCGATTCCCAGCATCCACATGGCAGCTCACAACTCCAAGATCTGACACCTTCACACAGACGTACATGCAGGCAAAACACTAGTGCACATAGAATAAAAATAAATAATTGTTTTTTAAAAAAATAAATGTTTAAATTTTGGGCTAGAGTGGTACTTTAGTGGTTAAGAGCACTGGCTACTCTTCCAGAGGACTTATGTACAATTGCTAGCACCCAATGGCAGCTAACAATAGTCTGTGACTCCAGTTCCAGGAGGTCTGACAGCCCCACTCTCACAGAAATACACATAGGCAAAACTTATCAATGCACATTAAATTTAAAAAAAAACAAATCTTTAAAAAAAAGACTGTTTAAATGTAATGCCAGTTGCCTAAATTCTACCTTTGAGGGGCTGCAGAATGGTTACAAGCACCTGTTGCTCTTGCAAAGGACCTGGGTTCAATGAGTTTCCAGCACCTACAAAATGACTCACAACCACCCACAACTCCAGAGCATCTGACACCCTTTTCGGATCTCCTCTAGCACCAGGCCCACTTGTGGCACACATGCATACAATGCACACATACAACACAGTAAAACACACAGTCTAAATAAAACGAAAGAAAGGTTAAAAATCCTTCTTCTCAAGATTGCTTCATTTCGTACTGTATGCTGTATGCCATCTCAGCAGGAAAAAACAAAAACAAAAAACAAACAAACAAACAAACACACACACACACAAAAACGCTTTCCTGAAATGTGTCAATTCTATTTTTAAAAAGGTTCAATGACCTATTTCTGTAATTCTCATAGACACTGAAAGAACATCAGGGTCTATTTAGGCTCAGTTCTACCACTGAAAAGTGACTCCTGCCAGGTGTCACCTAGAGAGCTACCATGTTGCTTTGCTGCAGAGAAGTGTAATGGCAGACACTGGATTGTCAGGAGAGCCTGTAGGAGAGCAGACACACTTCAGTCAAATTAGATATTGCTTAAGAGCTGAGCATTTCCTGGACGAAGAACCTAAGATGACTGACTGTTGAAAGAGGAACTATGATGCATCCACTAAGCCAAACCAACAGTCAGTTCCTCAGTAATCCAGGAAACAACAATTCTAACGAACCCATTCACAAAACCAACCTGCCGTGAGGAAAGGCAGAACCGCCCTTGGGTAGATTCTGATGACATTGGTTCTTGAGGTGGATGCTCTTCACTCAGAAGGGTCCTCTGGGTTACAGGCAGTTGTGAGACACCTAATATTAGCCTTGGGAAAAGAATTAGGAGTCTCTGCCCAAGCAGTACGTGCCCTTAACTGTTCAGTCCATTTCTTTATGAGAAGTGTGTTTTCTGAATGCACAGTAAAGAGTAGCTTGCTTCCTATCTTAGTCAGCACACATGCTTGCATGGTGAACCTCGCATTGGAGATTCCTGTTTTTAAATTGTAAAGATTTTGTTATTTTGGTTTTGTGTGTGTGTGTGTGTGTGTGTGTGTGTGTATACGTGCAGTGAATCTCATTAGGGTTGGTCACAGGCGCAGCAGCGGGAGGTTATTCACAAGCGAATGCACACCTTCCAAGAGGCTACACCACTAGGAAGAATCTCTCAGCCAGCTAGCAACCATTAGCTGCCTTGTGAGCACCTTTCCCTTCCATAGCAGAATGTTGATGAGCCTGATGCCCTGAGACTGGGACTCCCATAGGTCTTGGGCAAGTAATTGCAGTACCTATACATACACATGAACGTAAGTACACATGGAGGCCGGAAGAGGATATTGGGTCTCCTGGGATTGGAGTTGTGAGACACCTAATATTAGCATTGGGGAAAGAATTCAGATTCCCTGATTCCCTGCCAGAGCAGTGCATGCCCTTAACATCTCATTCTTAGTTTTTCATTAGACAGGCTTTCAAAGAAACCAATGTTGTTGCTTTGGTAAAGAAGAAAATTTTCAGAGACTGAACCATGTATGTGAACCTCAAAACTGCCTTCTGCTTAAAAGGCATCTTAGAAACCACACCCTCTGACTGTGCTGGGTCCCCACATCCTCAGCAGCCTGCACTTCGGCTACCTAATGTCACATTGCCGTATGTGGCAACAGCATTATTTTGGAGCAAACTGCCTACCTGGCTCCCTTCTTTCTTCAAGATTGACATAACTGTCGTTTCTTGAGGAAACAGAGATGGGGTTTTTGGGCTGGACCTTACAGTTGGTGGTTGGCAAGGCAGGATGGGTAGGCCAGACACCGAGTGGGGAACTGGATGGGTCCAGCGTCCTTTTTACTCTTATCATCTGGTCCCTGGCTGAGGTTCTTTCAGGTCATGGGGGGTGGGGGGAGTCCCTGACACACTATCCCCTCCCCCTTCTAGGCAGCAGTCTTCCTTGTTTCCTTCCAGCTGAGCAACTTGAAAGATATACTTCTGCTTAACTTTAAAATCTATCTCTTGCCCCTTATGGAACTTATTGCCCTGACCCTGTCCTCACTAGGGACTCCTGAGCTACTCTGGGCGATAGACAAGTTGATGGTGGTACAGCTGATACCCAGCTTGGGGAAAGAGACGATGGCAAGGTAGCCTCATGAGTTCCTATCACCTTGGAAGAGCCACACTGATTTACCTCTGGGTGCTCGAAAGTTCTCCAGGCCCATGTTGGCAGTCCCTCGGTCATAGGTCTGTTCTCCTTCCAGCCTCCCAAAGGCATCTCAGCCAGATCCACTACAGGTCCTCCTTCTTGTCTGGTTGCTTCCTCTCCATGACTCTGAAAATCTTAAGCATTCCCTAGGAAATTGTTCCTTCTGCAAACCTTTACCTCCCGTTCCATCCCATCTTCCAGACTGAAAGGTTCGAAGTAGGGTGGAGAGCCATGACCTGTACGATCCTGGATCAGTCCCTTCACCTCCCAAGCTGCAGTGCAGTTTTGTGTATTATGTGGAGTGATGGCCTTCCTGAGGGTGGTAGAGAAGGCCTGGTGGTGGCTCTTCAGAAGTCCACATTGTGTTTGTCTGTCACTACTCATAACAGTCGTGTGTCATTCCTGAGACCTCACTCATCCACAGAGCCCTGGACACCTTCGCTGCAGGTTCTTCTAGTACACTTGAATTAATTGGCTCGTGCCAACCTGTGCTGCACCTGCTTTAACTTTTTCTCCTTCAGTAAGTCATTGATAATCAACTCCATTGGCCACCCAGACTCTCAAAGTCACCCTAGAGTCCTGGAGTCCTCTCCACACAACACCGAATCTTTCACTGAATCCTACCAGGTTTAAATATGAGACATCTCCACATGACTCTTCCCGCAGCCTGACTGACACAGGCACAGTCCTAAGCTCAGCCACCTAAGCTTCCCAGCGGGACAGCAAACCTGCCAAGTTCCCACAGAAACAACTGACATGGGCTTAGAAGAGACTCAGCTCCAAAGCACAAGGCAAAGCTGAAATCACTAGTGTTTATTTCAGAGACATAAAATGTGAATCTTTCCAGTACCCTTAGCTTGATTCTGTTTGCTTTGTTTTTTTTTAAGATTATTTTATTTTATTTTATTTTATTTTATTTTATTTTATCTTATGTATGTGAGTACACTGTCGCTGTCTTCAGACACACCAGAAGAGGGCATCAGATCCCATTACAGATGGTTGTGAGCCACCCTGTGGTTGCTGGGAATTGAACTCAGGACCTCTGGAAGAGCAGACGGTGCTGTTAACCACTGAGCCATCTCCCCAGCCTTGTGTTTGGTTTTTAAGACAAGGTCTCAGTAGCCTACGTTGGCTTAAACTTGCTATGTAGCCAAGGATAGCCTTGAACTCCTGATTCTCCTGCCTCCCAAGTACTGGGACTACAGGCTAGATCAGTGTCCAGCTGAACTCCTTTACTTAATAGCTTTGAGTATATAAATATTTCATATTACATTTAATAAAAAGCCAATGCTAAAAATTTTTATCTATGACCTTAAAAGAAAACATAGTCAATACTTATTGTTAGTTGTTATTTTGGTAGCCAAATAAATGTTAAGGATAAAAGTATGGGACCCCTCACAGGATCAGGAATATGATGGTGTAAGACCTGGAATTGGTGTGCATTTAATGGCTGCTCGCAGGGGAGAGAGGTTGCGGAAGAGCCAAGCTTGCTAGACCGTGCAAGCCAAGTTAGATTGATCTCCTTCCTGCGCAATGAGGGTCCAGTTAGGAGCTTTCCAGTTCCCCGCTGGGCCAGTCCTCTGCTGGGCTGCTCTTTCAGGTCCATGGCTGTTGCAATCCCGCCTGGGCTCCTCCAGCCCTGTTTGGAGACACCTCCTGAGTCTGGAGACAGGCAGCCCTCTCTCTGTCCGTTTCCTAGCCTCAGCCCCATTCTACCTTTTGTCAAATTACTTTCCTCTTTGCCCTGGGAGATCCCTGAGGTATCCATGTGATAGAACACCTGGATACCCACAGAGCAGGAAGAGCTGGAAGGTCCCTGCTTAGGGAGCACTGCTTAGGGACATTGCAGGGACACTGCAGATACTCAAGAGCTTGGATCAGTAAAAGAAAAAAAAAAAAACAAACGACGAGATGTAAGGGACTAGGCAGAGAGGACTCACAGTCAGCATTTTCGAGGCTCTGGGGCCTGAACCCATGGTTATGACTTACCTCCAATCAAAATACCTAGGGAAAAAATTTTCACAAGGCACAACTCGAGGTTCCTGGGTGCAAACATTAAGCTGAAGCCCACGGGTACAGCGCCACGCAGGAATACCCTGTCGCACGGGCACACTACTTGTAGATCTTCAGTTACTCTCCAGGCCTCCTTGTTAGGCCAATGGTTGTACCTACACCAAACAGAAACTCCCAGACTTTCTCCTTCCTGGCCATTACCTCCTCAGAACACAACCACCATCCATGGAGCATTTACAGTGTATTAGGTAACACTAGCAATTTAGAGGCGATTTAAAATGTATGACAGGATGTGCTTGGGTTGTATGCAAACATCACCTTATACGTGGGGTTGGAACCTCCACAGATTTTGATATCCACTGGAACCAGTCTCTGAGGGAACACTGGACAGGATCAGGGGAAGTGTAGAAGGAGGGGCGAAGGTGAGGTCAAGGAGTCTGGCTTGCATGGAGGCATTGATGCCCCTGGGTTAGTGGATACTGGGAGGTAGAGAGGTGTGGGAGGAGGGGAGGTGGCTGGGTAAGAGAAATTAGGTGGCAGCAACTGGTACAAATGGGGAGTGGCTAAGAAGAGGAAGTGTGGTCAGAAGGAGAAACCAGGACCACCAGAAACAATACCACGTGTGAGGAGGGCAGAAGCAAAGGGCGCACGCCTGGCAAAAAGAGGAAGCCAGCCATTTGCAGCAGGGTCATGAAACCCAGAAGGAACATTCCCCCAGGCAGTTGTATGGTGTCACAGATGTACAAGATCCTATGCCCAGTACTATGCATGGATTATCTGAAGTAAATCACAGAACAACTTTATGCTCACCCATTTTACAGATGAGCCTGCTGGTATCCTGAATCTAAAGAACTTGTCCATGATCACACTGGTAGGAATAGGGATCCATACTCTTATGGTTAGATGGCATCTGAGGGAAAATAAGGCCGGGAAACTGTCCAGGGAGACGGCTAATAGAAGCAGGTGATGCGTCTTAGTGGAGATTGGGGTTGGGGAAAAGGGTGATGGTCCAGCAAAGCAAAAGCTGTATATGTGTGGGGGGTGTAAGTATGGATACACACACACACCATATAAACCTTTGTGCTCAATATTCAACAACAAAGTTTGAATACTTTTCCAGAGCCCAACTGACTGCAAAGCTCCCAGGAGAAGAAATCAAAGAGAAAGACTTCTGCCCCTTCTGTCTTAGCTACTTTCCACTGCTATGAAGAGACACTACGACTGAGGCAACTTATACAAGAACGAATTTATTGGGGTTCACAGTCAAAATGTTAGAGTCCATGCCCATCGTGGTGAGGAACATGGCAGCAGGCAGGCAAGAAGGCAGGCAGGCAGGCAGGCGTGGCTCTGGAGCAGTAGCTGGGAACTTACATCCTGATCTGCAGGCCGAAGGCAGAGAGTGAGGCTGGGCTGGGGTGGGCTTTTGAAACCTCAAAGCTTACCCCTAGTGACCTCCAACGGCAAGGCCACACCCCCTAATCCTTCCCAAACAGTTCCACCAAACTGGGGATCAAGCATTCAAACACATGAGCCTATGGAGGCCATTCTCATTCAAACCACCACAGCTTTCAAAGACCAGAAAACCAGGAGAGGTCACCGCTTCTTGAGTGACCTGAAAGCAACTGGGGCAAAGGTGCTTTGTGCCAGCTTCACCCCTCTCCTTCCCAGGTGTTTGATTGGCTGACTTTAGAACCTCCCTGGAGGTCAATGGTTCCTAACCTGCAACCAGCCCCTGCCCCACATTACCTTAGTTCCCGCTCTCTCCATTTCCCTGGCAAGTCTCAGTTACATTCCAACCTGCCTCTGCGTTCTCTTTCAGTTTGCTGTCAGGATCCCCCCAGGACAACACATAGCCTTCTTGAAAGCAGATGTCCTGATCTGCTTTGCTCTGACCCATCCCAAGCAGGCTCCCAGTTTATATTCTGCATTAAAGAAAGGGAGTTGAGGTTAAGGCAGTGGGCATTTGGTCCTCCCTGAGACAGGAATGGTACTCCAGCCTAGGGAAGGTGAGTAGCCCCCTCCTTGGGAAACAGTGCAGCTTTCCAGGTAGGGAATGACCTGGGCAAGGATAGTAGTTGGGTGTTTGGGAGACAGCGAGAAGACAATTGGGTTGAACAGTGCCCAGGACAGGCTTATAGTGTCAGGATGGAGTACTGATTTTCCTCTGTGGGCATTGAGAGAATTGTTGAACAGGTCATCAGCTAGTAAAAGTGACACGGTAGGAAGATTAGTCTGGACATAGGCTTGGCATTAGGTGGGGGTTGCCTCTTGGGGATATTCTCCTTGAGCATTGATCACCCCATCTCCTTGTCTCGTGACCACTCCAGGACAGCCTTGAGTGTTTGTGTATCTCATTCTCTCTCCACTGTCATTGCTCCAAGTTCATCAGAATTCACACCTGAAGGCCCATTGGTGGTTCAGCAGCCAGGAGACTCCAGCATCGCCTGTTCTCCATTCCCTCCATGAAGCGGGGATAGAAATGACATCTATAGTTTCCTTTTGCTTCTCCATCTTCAGATCTATGCAGTGGCAACCCTGACATTCCAAAGGAGCAAAAGGCATGGAGACCTCTGCCTGGCACTTCAAGAACGAGGGCAAGTTTACCGCCACAGCCTTGTGTGACAATGGTAAGTTAAACCTTGAGAGGGGAAACCAGCCCATTAGCACAGGCTAGGAAACGGCCTTTTCTGCCATCTCTCCAAACACAGTCACCCATGTGTGCAGATTCTCACATACACACATCCATTGAGTCTTTGAAAGGTCAAGGCCAATTGCAGAAGCACCCATTCCACAAGACTCCTAATTTACGTTGGGAACTAACTATAAAGCTCCCGTGGCCTCCAACTTCCTTTGCAGTGATAAAGAACAGGTCCCATCACTGTCACACAGATGTGACTCTTGATCAAAACTCTTTAACAAACCGGTAACTCCCAGCATTGAGTCACCAAAGCCAAGGGATGAGCCAGGTGCTGGCTTGAGTGGCAAGCGCTTTGATTAAGATGATATGGATTTCCTCGTATTCCACTTTCATTTGTTATAAAATTCAGATTCCATCCCCTTTTGGATTTGACAACAGCACATTTCAAAAGAAGTTGACACCAAGTCGGGGAAAATGTGACTTATTCTCTCTTCAACTGGGAGTAGACCACAATGCCTCCGAATCTGTTCAGTAATGATCACCAGGCCTTCCGACCCTGCTGTCAGCAAGTTCGCAGGAACACCGTCAAACTAAAGCACAAACCCAGACATCATCAGGTCTTCTTCTTAAGTGGAGTCTAAATCCCCACGTCTCTGGACCCCAGAAATGACCTTCCCCTCTCTGCCTCCTTCCTTGGGTCTTTTCTCTGAGTCTTCAATCCTCAAACGAGTTCTTTTGCTAGATATCTGGGGCAGAAAATGTACTTCCCTTCCACACAGTCCCTTCAGCCTCCTGGGGGCCCAGCAATTGAACATTTCTTCTGTATGGGCCATGGTGAGTCTCATGACCTAATTAGGATGTTGTTTTCAAATTGCTTGCTTATTAACTAAATTAGATAAATTTACTTGAGGTCTATTTCTGCTTTTTTTTTTTAAAAAAAAAATCTGGTCTTCAAGTAAAACATACTGATACAAGATAGGGTAGAATGAACATACTAAGGCTTGTCAGAACACTCATCTAGTAAGTCTGAGAATATCCCTAGGTCAGACACAAAGCTCTAGCAGTGTATGAAGTGTACTTATCCCTGCAAGGGACTTGCAGTCTAGTCAGAACTGGCTAACACTTTCAACATTTATAAATCTGGCTTTAAAAAAAAAAAGTAGAAACGAAACCTGTGGCCTGGATCCTCCTACCTCAGCCGTCTACGTGCTGATGCTCCAAGTTCACTACCACACCAAGCTGCTGAATTGGGCTTTCAAACGTCTCGTACCTCTGAACTCTATTCATTTGCCCTCGCCAGTCTCCTTCTGTGTATTGTATCTGGACCCTCAAGTGCTCGCTGACGAGTGTCCCTGAGGATATAAATGTGTAGTCTTTGTCCGTTGACAACTAGTTCATATTCCTAAAACATCAAAACATTAAGCAAAGCTCTTAACAGAAGGAAGTCTTCAGAGAAAAGCTTGACGATATCAGAGAAGCTGATCCTTCTGACTAGGCCACGGACCAAACCAGGACGGAAGTGGGAGACAGGGCTGAGACCAGGGAGGGAAGGCGTGTGTGCCAGGCATGGCTTTAATTTTTCTAGCAAGAAGTTTTCTCTGCGGCCCTGGAAGAACAGTCTCCAGCCTCCATCTGCGCTGGCAGAAGGTGAGCGTCTGGCTGCTCCTGGAGGACGGTCCATTGAGTAAGTCCGTGGAGGTGGCAGTCAGCACATGGATGGGACGGTGCAGAGGTCTTGGGGTGTTGCAGTAACAGAGGCAACGTTACTCAGTTGTCACTCAGTGGTATAAACCCAAGTGCAGAATTCAGTTACCACAGAAGCTTAGAGACAGGTGTTTGGCTCTCTATGAGATTATAGTCGAAACTCTATGATAAAAAACATTTTCATGGTACATAAACGTGCAGAGGCTGCTGCAAAAGAGCCGACACAGGCATTTTCTTGCCAGATAATCCAGCCGCCACTATGGACTTCTCGCTTTATCTCTTGTTGTTTCCTGAAGCATTTAAAAACAGACCTCAGACATTGCAGTTCATCGTTCAATATTTTCCATACACTCTTTTAAAAATATTTTATTTTAAAATTATATATATGTATATGTGTCTCTCTGTGTGAATGTGCACATGAGGACATACGGGCACCCATGAAGGCTAGCAGGTGTCAGTTCTCCGGGAGCAGGAGTTACAAGTGGTTATAAGACACTTAATGCACATTTTGGAAACCAAAATGTGGTCCTCTGGAAGGGCAGCAAGTGCTTAACAACTGAGTCATCTCCCGCCCTACACATATGCCTTTCAAAAGCCTTTTTCTTGTACAATCTTAATAGTGTTATCACACACACCAAACAGAATGATCTCAAAATATTTTCAATATACTGTCCTAATTTAAAATTTCCTGATCATCTCAAAATATCTTCTCACAGTTGGTTTAAATTAGGATCCAAAAAAGGTTTCCATATTGCAAGTGCCTGCTTTGTCTCCAGCACCTTGATCCATCAGGTCACAGTGTTAACCAAGTGGCTGCTCTCACCCGCCATCACCCTCTGTCCTGAGCTTCGGCTGCAGTCTCTTAGCTTACTCCCAGGCCCTCCCAGTAATACACAAAGCCGGATCCAGAACAGCCAGGACCCGAGGGAGCGAGCTTTGGCACGAAACTCAAAACTCCTGGATTTTCAAGGTCCAGGCAAGATACCATAAAATCTGGGAAAGAAACAAAACAAAACAACTTGGGAAGTAGGTTCTGTTCCTGGACTTCACCAGGCCAGAGGAGGGGGAGAGGAGAGGGGCCACCAGATAGGTAGGCAGAGCAAATGCACTGTGTAGGTGTAGACCCCATGTTTGTGGTTTGTGTCACAGAACTGGGAAGTCATGTTCGTCAGGATTTCTTGCTGAGTGTGGTCCCTGGACAATGGGAAGGATTGCCCATCTGTCCTGGTTTTGTTTGTCTTGCTGACAAATTTCCTGACAAAATCAACTTAGGGGAGAAAGGGTCTGTTTTTAGATCACAAGTCCAGGTACAGGCCATTGTAGCTGGAAGTCGAGGTGAAACCATGGAGTCACAACAGTGACAAGCAAAGAGAAACAAGTGCAGGCACGTTTCTTGTTTGCTTAGCTTGGCTACTAGCTTCTAGTTATTTATTTTTCCTAAGATTTATTTTATTTTATTTTATTTTATTTTATTTTATTTTGTGAGATAGGGTCTTGCTATGCAGTCCTGGTTGGCTGGAAACTAACCACCCAGACAAAGCTAACCTCTAATTCACAGAGATCTGTGTGCATCTTCTTGCCATGTGCTGAGATTAAAGGGCTATGCCATAACACCTGGCTGAAAAATCATAATATTTTTAGTTTTCTATATGTGTTTAGGTATGTGCATATAGGTGCCCTCAGAAGACAGAAGAAGAAAGTGGAGCCCTTGGAGCTGGAATTATAGCTAGTTGTAAGCCAGCTGCTGGGTGCTGGGAACTGGACTCTGGTCCTCTGCAGGAGCAGCATATAGTCATAACCACTGAGCCATCTCCCCAGCTCTTCTCACTGTTACACAGTTCAAGACCCACACCTGGAAATACTGCAGCCTTCATTTAGAGTGGACCTTCCTACTTCAGTTAACTAATTGAGACATCCCACTCCCACCCCATGGATATGTCCACAGGTCCAACCCAATGGAGGCACTCTCTCATTGAGACTCTCTTCCCAGGTAACTGTGATCAGAGTTACTCATCACACACCTCTACCTAGAGAACTCTGAAGTTAGACCCCATGAGACTAGCAAATCGCCTTTGTATGTGTGGGGAAGAGGCGAATGGAGCTCTGGTTACCTAAACGGTGACTGGTTCTAGAAGGAATCATCTTGTATCAGCCCAGAAGAGGACCAGCCCTGTGTATAACATTCTCTGCAGCAGGACAGGTGTTCAAAGGCATACTTTCCCAAGCTCCCTCTGAAAATGAACCATGTGGTCAGCTTGTCATCATCCCAACCCCGACCCCGACCCCGACCCCTATGTTGGTAATGTCCATCAAAAAAAATGCACTTCTTCTGTAGAAGATACAGAGCCTAAACTTTGTCCCCTATACTGTATTCAGGCTGACACATGCCCCTGGACTCCCTGGCCCAGAACTAGCTGTGCTAGTGAGTTCCTGCTCCCTGGGAGGAGAGAGAGAGAGAGAGAGAGAGAGAGAGAGAGAGAGAGAGAGAGAGAACCCGGCATAGACAGCTGAGTTTCCTGGGCTCCTTTCCATAACTGGGTAGGTCTTGTGTCTGCATGGAAAATTGTTCGTGAGGATCAATTACATTTAGGGGGATGGTCCCCTTTAATGACCCACTTAGTCTTTGTCTCTGGTCCTCTTTTGATGGGCGTTGGTGGCAGCGGCATCGGAAAGCTGTGCTCTTGGGAAGATATCCCAGGGGACCCTAAGATGCTGGCCTCAGGGAGGTGTGGGGATGCCGGGAATGATCTGCTGGGCTGGCCTCCACATGGAGCCTGCAGATCTTGGCAGCTGGCGATCTGGCCTGCATCTGATCAATTTTATCAGCAAGGCATTCAGAAAATGTCTCCACCAGAGAACATGTTGACCCTCTGAAGAAGGGAATGCGGTGCGGGTTGCCTGTTTGAAGACACTCTGGGTTTTGATGAGGCTTGTGAGGAGACCCCAGATAAGCCTCAGAAGGCGAGCCAAGCGGGCGGAGAAGCAGCTCCTCGCCGAGTCTCCAAATCTTCCACAGCCTTCCATTTTACGTGTTTACCAATTCAGAAAGCAGATCCAGCTGTTGGGAGGAATTGCTTCCAGATGACATTATGGGAAAGGAAAACACGTATTATAAAAGAGCTGCAGAATAAAAACCAGAACATGTACACTCCGCGGGCCAAGGTTTCATATGGACCGTTTCCTGGTGTTGCGCAATAGGCAGCTCCAGGGAGATGTTGTAAGAACAGTGCGAATAGGCAGGCTCCTGTAGTCAGGCCAGAGTGCC